TGATCCACCTGCCTCAGCCTCCCAAAGTGCTGCATAACAGGCATGAGCCACCGTGCTCGGTGATCTCGGCTCACAGTCAACCTCTTGGGCTCAAGGAATCCTCGTACCTCAGCTTCCTTCGTAGCTGAGACCACAGGTGCACACCATCACACCTGGTTAAGTTTTATATTTTTTTTCTAGAGATGGGATTTCGCCAGGTTGCCCAGGCTGGCCTCAAACTCCTGGGCTCACACCTCAGCCGCCCAAAGTGCTGAATTACCACGCCTGGCCTAGTTTTCTTTAATCTGGAAGGGTTCCCCAGCCTTTCTTGATTTTTCACGACACTGATGTTTAGGGAGAGTACAGGTCAGCTATTTTATAGACCGCCTGTCCCTCCGTGTGCGTTTGTGGGATCGTTCCTCATGATTAGCTCCAGGTTTTGCATTATTATAATTGTTGTCGTCGTTGAGATGAGAATACTAATAGTAGCTAGCTGACAGGATCGTTGTCAGGGCTGACTCCATGTGTGAAAAGCACAGAATAATGCTGGTCTGTGGCAAGTGCCCCACACAGGAAGACTGTTTTACTGTTGTTAATATGGAGGGTGTGGCTGGCTCAGTGGCTCATGCCTATAATCCCAGCACTTTGAGAGGCTGAGGCAAGCAGATCACTTGAGGCCAGGAGTTTGAGACCAGCCTGGGTAACGTAATAAGACCCTGTTTCTATAAAAAATTTTTAAAAAGCGGAGTATAGTGGCATGTGCCTGTAGCCCTAGTTACTCAGGAGGCTAGGCTGGAGGCTTGCTTGAGCCCAGGGTATAGTGAACTATGAGCACGCCGCTGCACTTCAGCCTGGGCGACAGAGCGAGAACCAGCCTCTAAAATAAAAAAGGCCAGGTGTGGTGGCTCAAGCCTGTAATCCCAGCACTTTGTGAGGCCGAGATGGGCAGATCACCTGAAGTCATCAGTTTAAGACCACATGGCAAAACCCCGTCTCTACTAAAAATACAAAAAAAATTACAAAAAAATTAGCTGGGTGTGGTGGTGGGCGCCTATAATCCCAGCTACTTGGGAGGTTGAGGCAGGAGAATCCGGGAGGCGGAGGTTGAGGTCAGCCAAGATCGTACCATTGCACTCCAGCTTGGGTGACAGAGCAAAACTTATTAAAAGTTATTTAATAAGCAACACTTATTAAAAAATAAAATAAATTTAAAAATGGAGGGTGGGCAGGCCTATAACAAGGTTAGAGAAGTTGGGAAGGAGAATCACTACCCTTGTAGCCCCTAAGGAAGGCGGACATGAGACCAGGAGAGAGCCTGAGCATTGCATAGGGTAGACACAGGGCTGCTGAGGTCCCTTCTGCAGGGGTGCCCAGGGCTGAGAGTTATGGAGCATTCAAGGGCCCTAACACTCGCTCTCCATGCTGATGCAACCAGGACCTGCCTCTCTGACTGGGTGCATTGCCTGAGTCTCTCTAGCTCCTCTTCCTTTTGTCCCTCTGCAAACCAGGTACTTCAGAGGCTCATCAAGTCCCGAGGGAAGTCTCAGTCCAAACACCTCAACGTCCAAATAGCAGCCTCGGAAAAGCTGGCACAGTGCCCCCCTGTGAGTGCCAAGATCCTGGGGAAGGGAAGGGAGGGAGCGAGGGAGGGCACTTGGGTCGTCCTGGTTTCCTCTGGCCTGCACGAGAGACAGAGTGACCAGGAACACCTGGGTCAGGCCCGTAGGTGCAGACTGGTCTTCCGGGAGGAGCGCAGGTCTGTCAGTCGAGGACTGGGTTCAAGCCCCAGAAGCACCCTTTCTGTGGAGAGTCAAGCCCTCTCTCCAGCCTTGGTTGCCTTATCTTTAGAATGAGGGAGTTGGACAGAGTGCCAAAACGGCTTGCAGTTCTGCTAATCTGTACATCTGAGAGCCCTCCTTCCCTTCTTCCACATCCAGAGGCCTCTTTTTAACCTTGTCCTTCAATCCCTTGACTCTACCCACTGCACCCAGGCCACACCCTCAACCCCCTTGGCCACGCCCCACTCATCCCAGCCCCGTCCCCTAACCCCGCCTCCACAGGAAATGTTTGACATCATCCTGGACGAGAACCAGTTGGAGGATGCCTGCGAGCACCTGGCAGAGTACTTGGAAGCCTATTGGAAGGCCACACACCCGCCCAGCAGCACGCCACCCAACCCGCTGCTGAACCGCACCATGGCTACCGCAGCCCTGGCTGCCAGCCCTGCCCCTGTCTCCAACCTCCAGGTACAGGTGCTCACCTCGCTCAGGAGAAACCTCAGCTTCTGGGGCGGGCTGGAGTCCTCGCAGCGGGGCAGCGCGGTGCCCCAGGAGCAGGAACACGCCATGTAGTGGGTGCCCTGCCCGTCTTCCCTCCCGCTCAGGGGTCAGAACTGGAGTACAGGGAACATGGAGGAGGAAGGGAAGAGCTTTATTTTGTAAAAAATGTGATGAGTGGCAGCTTCTGGTGTCTGTGGTTTTTGATGGGTCTGGGGCTTCTGGTGCTGGCTTCCTGGGCCTGGTGCCATAGGACCGCATCTGTTGCCCGCTGGATCTCAGGCCTGATGGGGGCCCTTTTAAGGCAAGGGGCTAGGAAGGACGTGCGAGGTAGACTGGTACACTCATTCGCTGGACTCCACACCCTGTTTAGACCCAACAGAGCAGGGGCCCTCAGAGCCAGGAGGGCTGACTCTCCCTATTAAACCTGGACTCTCCCTCCCTGGAACCCTGACTCCTCAAGGCCCCTCAAGAGGGACCCAGAATGTGGGATCTTCTATAACTTGATGCGGAACCTTCCACCATTCTCCCAGTTAAAGAGTCCAGGAAAGGCCCTCCCATGGGAGCCCAGCCTGCCTCGCCCTCCTCCGGAGCAAGCCACAGCCTGTCTCTTGATTCCACACCATTAAGTATAAGGTTCTAGGTGAGAGTCAGAAGAAACCCATGAAATCATTCTAGACTGTAGCTTTCAAATTCGTTTTCAGCAACACAGCCCATTTGTTCAATGAATCTTATGTGGAAGCTGAGGATGTAGATAATGCATCCTTGCTCTGCCCTATGAGGAAGCCAGGAGAATGGCCTCCCCTCCACCTCCATGGGGACCCCTGAAGCACTTCTGTGCCCTCCCCACCCCACCCCAGATCTCCAGGCAACAGTTTGGAAACTGCTGCTCAGGTCTAAGCCCCATCAAACTACAACCAAGAAATGAGGCCACAGAGAGGGGAACCGTTTGCTCAGGATCACACAGCTTGAAGTGGCGGGGGAGGGACTGGAACCTCTCTTGTGCCCCACTGCCACAAGACATTTGGTGATGAGGACACTGAGCCACCTCTTCATCTTCAGTAGGAGGGGGAGACCCAGCAGCCTTCCCCAGCTTGCTGCTTTGAGTCCTTGTTGGGGCCAGGGGAGGAATCCCATCAGCCTTGGAGATGGTGTCATCTGCCTAGGGAATGGTGGGAGAAGCATGGGGTTCTGGAAGCCTGAGATTGGGGTCTCGTGATTTGAAGCTAGGGTCAGCAGGTTTGAGCTGAAATCTCCTGTTAATATATTTGGAAAACTGAAGGCAATGACTAACCCAATCAGCCACTAATGAGTGGCAGTACTTAGCTGTTAATGATGATTAACCCCAAGTAGCATTAATGACACGCACCGAGGAAGTGGTGACTCATGGCTCACGGCTGTCGGCCATGGTTGCCCTGAGAGTTCCTGTGTCCTCACATCTGTTGAAGGTCAGGTGTCCCCTGTCCGGAGAGAGGAACGAATGGCCTGAGGTCTGTCCTCTGGCTGGGCTCCAGAGCCATTTGTCCCCGGGGCCCCTCCCTAGAGCCAGCACCCTCCTTCACCCAGGCCAGCCGTCTTCGTGCTGTCACTAACCTGCCTTGCTTTGTTGTGTTCTTCTCACCCCTGCCTGATCTGCATGGTGTGTGATGTCCGTCTGCTAACCAGGGACCCTACCTTGCTTCCGGGGACCAGCCGCTGGAACGGGCCACCGGGGAGCACGGCAGCGTGCACGAGTACCCAGGGGAGCTGGGCCAGCCCCCAGGCCTTTACCCCAGCAGCCACCCACCAGGCCGGGCGGGCACGCTGCGGGCACTGTCCCGCCAAGACACTTTTGATGCCGACACCCCCGGCAGCCGAAACTCTGCCTACACGGAGCTGGGAGACTCATGTGTGGACATGGAGACTGACCCCTCAGAGGGGCCAGGGCTCGGAGACCCTGCAGGAGGCGGCACCCCCCCAGCCCGACAGGGATCCTGGGAGGACGAGGAAGAAGACTATGAGGAAGAGCTGACCGACAACCGGAACCGGGGCCGGAATAAGGCCCGCTACTGCGCTGAGGGTGGGGGTCCAGTGTTGGGGCGCAACAAGAATGAGCTGGAGGGCTGGGGACGAGGCGTCTACATCCGCTGAGGGGCAGGGGCCACGCGGCGGGAGGAAGGGCCCTGAGCCCGGGGGAGGGGAGGGAGCGAGGGGCTCACACTCGACATGTATCCGCCTCCAGGGGGCGCTGTCGCCCTCCTTTCAGATGCCTTGCTCAAAGCTTGGGGTTTCTCCGGTGTTATCTATCATCCCAGCTCCCGGGTGGCCCTTAAGCCCCAGCTGTCGGTTTTTACCTGCCTGTTGCGAATGGATGGCGGATACCCACCTTTCTGAAGTGTCCCCTTTCTCCCATCTTAAGGGGCTCTCCTCCCTCACCCTCCTAAAGAAAAGGTGCACTTCCTGAACTCTTTCTCCTCGGGGCCCTCAGTGACGGTCCTAAGCGGGATGACCCTTCTCCCAGGCTGCAGTATGGGGGAAGGGCTGGGCGCTTTTCCTGGAGAGGGAGGCCACAGATTCTTTCCCAGGGGGCTCTCTTCCCCAGACCCCAGATCCAGGGTCCCTCCCTGCCTGCCCCATCCTCCCAGCTTCCTGGCAGCATCGTCTGGTCAGTGAAAGCTACAGCATGGGCACCCCATGGGGAGCTTGTCTCGGGGAGGGTTCTGGGTGGAAGCTGGCAGGCATCAGACACAGCACCCTCTAACCTCCATGGCCATGGCAACGTCCAGGGCCCAGAACCCTGAAGAGTGGGTAGCCTGAGACGCTGCTCCCCACCCCCACCTCCATGCCTCAGCCTTCGCCTACCCCAGGAATGAGCTTGGCCTCCAACACCCCTTGCCTGCTGCCATTAGAAGAGGGGCCCCTCTGCATCTGAGCCCCACCCCTGTGCCGCCTGGGTGTGGAGCCCATGGAACACTCTGGTCCGCCTCATTTTAAACCAAAAAATTGCTCCTTCACCCTCACCCTGAGGCCCCAGGGGAGAGGACCCGTGGGTTGGTGCCCAAGAGGTGACCACCACCCCAGGGGTTGCCTTGGGACCTTGGATCTCCTCTGGGGGGCTTGGCTGCTGCTGTTGCTGCTCTGTATTTGCCTCTTGTGATTCTGTTACCCATGTCCACTTCCCCCAGGAGAGGCCTTGGTACCCCCTCTCCCCTGGGGCAACCCTCTGCCTCGGCATCCCTATAGCCCAGCAGCCCTGCCCCTCCCCAGCATCCCAGCTGGGCCAGAGAGAGCCGACTGTGCCAACAAGGACTGGGCCCTGCCCGGCTGCCCGCCTCAGGGATGGGCACCTCATGCCTGTCTCGCCACCTCCTGTGCCAATGTCCCACCCTCCCCCGGGGGGTGGGGTGCAGCTTCTACTTACTGATTAGATGACACCACTGCCCACCCTCTCCCCCTCCCTGTCTGGTGTCCTGTGCCCCCATCTGTCTGTCTATATTTGTCTGTACTCCCCTAGGAGAAGTATTTTGCCATATATAAAACCACTGTCCTGTCCTTTGTGACTGCCTCCCAAGCCTGCTTCTTTGTCCTTGCCACATAGTCGTCAGCCTAGGCACCTGGGAGCTGCCGACATGTGGGGGGAATTGAAGGGGTGGGTGCAGGAAGAAGCTGTGCCCTGAGTCGTTGACTCAAAAGGAGAGATGATCCTTTGACTTTGGCCCTCTGACGGATTATGCCCAAGCCAGGAGCTGCTTGGGCAGTCCCCGCTCTGCATTGGCCCTGAGCCCCTCACCTGTCTCTCCACAAGCAGAGCCAGAGGCAGTGTGAAGCTCGGTGTTGCTCAGTGGGTGAGATCTAGACCCACTGGTGCAATGTCTTAAATGTACATGCTTGTTTTTCTGCTCTTGTGGCCTCGCTGCACCCCAACACCTCGGGACAGGGAGGGGCTGAGCTTCTGGCTCCACTAATGCCCCCCTTGTCCCTGCTAACCAGCTTTGGAGGCAGAGAGGCAGACTACTTGTGGCAGCAGGTCAGAAAATCAGGGATTCTGCCAGTCCCAGACAAAGTCAGCAGGTGAGTGGACCCATCCCTGCTATCCCCAGCTGGTAGGATGTGGACTTCTGACAGTTACTGCAACCACCTGTGTCCTGCCTCACACAGTACCCTTAAAGTATTTCCCCTCCCTCCTGGTTCTTGTTTCTTCTTCTTTTTTTTTTTTTAATTTGAGACAGAGTTTTACTCTTGTCTCCCAGGCTGGAGTACAATGGCACGATCTCAGCTCACTGCAACCTCCACATCCCGGGTTCCAGTGATTCTCTTGCCTCAGCCATCTAAGTAGCTGGGATTACAGGCGTGCGTCACCATGCCCAGCAAAATTGTGTGTTTTTAGTAGAGACGGGGTTTAACCATGTTGGCCAGGCTGGGCTTCAGCTCTTGACCTCAGGTGATCTGCCGGACTTGGCCTCCCAAAGTGGTGGGATTACAGGCGTGAGCCACCACGCCCGCCCTTGTTCTTGTTTTTGCACTGATAGCCCTGTAGGACTAGAGTTCCTGAGTCCACCACCTGAGTTCTGAGGCCCAACATGTGTGAGTGAGTGTGTGTGTGTGTGAGTGTGAGTATGTGTGTGCATGAGTGTGTGTGTGTGTGTGTGTGTGTGTGTGGAGGGCAAGAGACATCCCCCAAGACCCTACAGATGAGGAGTTAGTGGATCAAAGAAGAATTGGGCAGGCCCAGAGGTCAAGTGGTTGACGCCAGTTCCCGGGGAGCCAATGGTAACGTTGATGAGCACCTAGTCTCTGCCTTCCAGCATAGTGTATTTCCCGATGTCTTCCTATGCAGTCATTCATTCCTGTGTTTCTTCCTTAAACAAACATTTATTGAGCACCTCCTATGTACCAGGCACAAGTCTAAGTAGGGGCCATAGATGATTTCAGTACAGTATAATGTGCTGTCTGCTGTGGGAGCACTGGGTACTGTGGGAACCTGGAAGAGGGGTTAGTCCCATAACCTGGGGAGGTCAGCTGAGGCTTTCTGGCGGAGGGGAGGCTTAAGTAGAGTCAAGAAGCATGGTTAGCAGACAAGTGGGGGAAGTGTTCAAGGCAGAGAAAGCAGGACACATGCATGACATGTTCTTGGCACCTCACCAGCAAAGTGTGCACTCAAGGTGGTGGCCAGAGAACGGTTGGCAGGAGCAGGTCACAGTGGGCCTTGAGTCACGTTAAGGAGTTTGGGCTTTGTCCTGAAACTAGTGTGCAGAAATGGAAGGACTGTAAGCAACTAGCAAGACTGCGTTGTTAGCAGTTTGGCACATAGATTGGAAGGCCTAGCTTGGAAACAGCTGTGATAATCCAGGTGCGAAAGGAGGGTTTTCCTAGGCCACAGCAGTGGGACTAGAAGGGAGGTAAAGAGGCCAGAGACATCTAGCAGTCAGATGGCCGGGCGTGGTGGCTCAGGCCTGTCATCCCAGCACTTTAGGAGGCTGGGCTGGCAGGACTGCCTGAGCCCAGGAGTTTGAGACTCTTTTATGCAACACGGTGAGACCCACGTTTCTACAAAAACTTTAAAAATTAGGCTGGGCGTGGTGGCTTATGATTGTAATCCCAGCACTTTGGGAGGCCGAGGTGGGCAGATCACCTGAGGTCAGGAGATCGAGACCAGCCTGACCAACATGGGGAAACCCCATCTTAAAAAAAAAAAATTAGCTGGGTGTGTAGTCGCAGCTACTCAGGAGGCTGTGATAGGAAGGCTGAGGTGGGGAGGATCTCTTGAGCCTAGGAAGTCAAGGCTGCAGTGAGCTATGATCGCACCGCTGCATTCCAGCCTGGGTGACAAAGTGAGGCCCTGTCTCAATAAATTAAATAAATAAATATTAGAATCTTGAGCTCTTAGAGAGTAATTGTAGGTGGTAATAAGAGAAAGGGAGGTGGCCGGGCGTGGTGGCTCCCAGCACTTTGGGAGGCCGAGGCAGGCGGATCGCCTGAGGTCAGGAGTTCAAGACCAGCCTGGCCAACATGTGGCAAAACCCTGTCTCTACTAAAAATACAAAAATTAGTCAGGCACAGTGGCACAGGCCTCCAGCTACTCTGGAGGCTGAGGCAGGAGAATCACTTAAACGCAGGAAGCAGAGTCTGTGGTGAGCTGAGACCATGTCACTGTACTCCAGCCTAGGTGACGGAGCGAGACTCTGTCTCCAAAAAAAAAAAAGAGAAAGAGAGGTGACTGCTGATGGTGGTCTTTCGAGCAAAAGCAGATGAAAAAAATCAAAGAATTTAGGGGCAGAAGTGATCAGTCCATCTTTGGTCAAAGTGGGTTTGAGGTGCCTGTGGGACATTCGAGAAGAGAAGAGGAGGCTGGGCACAGTGGCTCATGCCTGTAATCCCAGAACTTTGGGAAGACCAGGTAGGCAGATCAATTGAGGTTGGGAATTCAAGACCAGACTGGGCAACATGGTGAAACCTCATCTCTACTAAAAGTACAAAAATTACCTGGGTGTGGTGGTGGGTACATGTAACCCTAGCTACTTGAGAAATTGAGGCGGCAGGAGAATTGCTTGAAGCTGGGAGGCGGAAGTTGCAGTGAACTGAGAATGCGCCGCTGCACTCCAGCCTGAGTGACAGAGCGAGACTCTATCTCAAAAAAAAAAAAAAAAAAAAAAAAAAAGAGAGAGAGAGAGAGAGAAGAGGAAAAGACAGCTGGGTACATGGTCTGGAGCTCCACAGAGAGGTCTGGAGTGGAGTCTGATGTTCTGAATCAAGGTCGGGCATTATTAACTCCAGTTTACAAAGTTCAGAGCGGTTAAACTATTTGACTGCAGTTACACAGCCATGGGGCAAGGATTTGAACTCAGATATATGGATGCCAAGTTCTGTGGTGCCTTTGACCCCCAAGTTCAATGCTAATTCCTTTACCCCAGGATGCATCAGCTTCTGCAAGGGTGGGGGTTGGGGATTGGGAAGGAGGAAGCGGGGGTCTGAATGCATTTCTGTCTGTGTCTCATGTGCCTTCTGCTTGAAATTGCATTTGCAAGGCAGGCGTGGTGGCTCACACCTGTAATCCCAGTACTTTGGGAGGCCGAGGTGGGTGGATCACTTGAGGTCAGGAGTTTGAGACCAGCCTGGCAAACATGCGGAAACCCCGTCTCTACTAAAAGTACAAAAATTAGCCAGGTGTGGTGGCTGGCGCCTATAATCCCAGCTACTTGGGAGGCTGAGGCAGGAGAATAGCTTGAACCCGGGAGGTGGAGGTTGCAGTGAGCTGAGATCGCACCACTGAACTCCAGCCTGGGCAACAGAGAGAAACTCCGTCTCATAAAGAAAGAAAGAAAGAAATTGCATTTTCTCAGAACTTGCAGGCAAGTCATTTCTAGCTGGCTTGGAGAGACTTCTAGATGGGGGCAGATTCTTGTTTCTTGGTAACCAAAAGCTCTCAACTAACTCTGGTGACACCATCAGCAAGTTAGTGTTTGTCAACATGTGAGGATTTCAACAACCATGGTCAGCTGAGACCTGGCAGGAACCGAGGGACTGGGGACCCCTCCTACCTGGGACCTTCGTTTCCTTCCCTGACTAGCTGCTCCTGTCTTTGCAGTGGATTCTGTTCCAGAATGAGCTGGTGTGGGAGAAGCCCAGGTCCCTGGTGTGGCCTAAAGTTTCCAGTGTTCTACAAAAAAGTCAACTAGGCTGAGGCCACCATGGTCCAGGGACAAGGGGGTGTCCCAATTCAGTATCCTAGAAAAAAACTTTGTCTTAGCTCCAATAATCTCTTCTTCAGAGAAGGGTGCCTTGCTTCCCTACTAAATTAGGCCATCTTACTCACTGTCTCTCAGAGGTTTTTTTTGTGTGTGTATGTCTGTGTGCCTGTGTGTATCTGTCTCTCCTTCTAGAACATAAGTGCCATAGAAACCCAGACTGGGACTGGGAGCAGTGGCTCATGCCTGTAATCCCAGCACTTCTGGAGGCTGAGGCAGGAGGACTGTTTGAGTCCAGGAGTTTGAGACCAATGGCAAAACCCATCTCTAAAAAAAAAAAAAAAAAAAAAAAAAGAACCACACACACAGACACAAAATGCAAAAATTACAAACCACACACACACACAAAACACAAAACACAAAAATCAGCTGGGAGTGGTGGCTTGCACCTCTAGTCCCAGCTACTTGGGAAGCTGAGGTGGGAGGATCGCTTGAGCCTGGGAGGTTGAGGCTGCAGTGAGCTGTGATCCTGCCCTGGACTCCAGCCTGGGCGACAGAGCGAGACTCTGTCTCAAAAACCAAACCAAAACAAAAATATAAAGACCTGGACTGGGTCTGTTTTGTCACTTCACGTGTTTCCTGGCTCGTATTTGTCAAATTGATGATTAAATGAATGAATGCTTCCTAAGATCCAGATCCTGGGCCTCAAAGCAAAGGCAGATCTTCCCTTCTGTTTTTCTATTTTCTTATTTTCTCTTTTAATTATTTTATTGTATTTTATTTTAATCAGGCAGCCTCCCGAGCCAGAGTATGCTCAGAGAAATCCGCTCTCCTTTTCTGTTTACTGAATGTATTTCCGGCTTGCAGAGTGTCACTTTCAATTCTGCAAAGAGGAGGTGGGGAGGGCAGCATGCACTCAGAGGTTCCTCCCCCAACCCCCTATCCCTGGGAAACAGATGGTAAAATGCTTAAGACAAGGCTGCTTCCCTCAGCGCCCTTGGTGCCCCACCCCCCAGCCCCAGTCTTAGCTCCTTGTCTCCAAAGGCTGAAATGCAATCAGCCCAGATGTACTCTGGCCGTCAACTCTATCCATCTAACTCTGGGCACCAAGCTGGGTGGGATGCAAGTCTGTATTTAGTGAGCTATTTTCCTTCTTCCTCCTGCAAGCTTCCCAGCCTTCCTCAATCCTCTTACACTTGTGTTCACCTTCCTTTTTTTTTTTTTTTTTTTTTTTTTGAGACGGAGTTTCGCTCTTGTTTCCCAGGCTGGAGTGCAATGGCGCGATCTCGGCTCACCGCAACCTCCGCCTCCTGGGTTCAGGCAATTCTCCTGCCTCAGCCTCCTGAGCAGCTGGGATTACAGGCACGCGCCACCATGCCCAGCTAATTTTTTGTAGCTTTAGTAGAGACGGGGTTTCACCATGTTGACCAGGATGGTCTCGATCTCTTGACCTCGTGATCCACCCGCCTCGGCCTCCCAAAGTGCTGGGATTACAGGCTTGAGCCACCGCGCCCGGCCTCACCTTCCTTTTTTAATACTCCAAGTGCCATTTCTCAGGCTGTAGTTTAACTCATTCTGTCTGACAGCAACACATTCCTCCTGTGTGCCGGACTCTGGACCATGCAGGGAGCGGCCGGCACATGCTGGTGAACAAAATATCAACCCTGTCCTAGGATGCACAGTTGATGGGAGGAAACAGACTTGCCCGTCTATAATCCCAGTGTAGGGAGAAGCCCCATGTGGCTGGAGAGCCAAGCCAGGGCTGGGGAAGCAGGTGGCTTTTATGGAGGGGAGCTAAAAGGTCTCAGGCATTCTCCTTTCTGAGAAGGTGAAAGGCACTCAAGGAGGAAATGCAGCAGCAAAGGCACGGTCAGAAAGAGCTGGGCAGGTGGGGGCAGGAAGCAATAGATGCAGAGCCGGGGAGAAAAGCCTGCGAAGGCAGGTGGGGGCTGTTCATGGAGGGTCTTGAACGTCAGGTGGAGACTCATCTGAATCCACTGAGCAATAGGGAGCCATTGAAGGTTTATGAGCTGATGGAGTTACAGACTCTGAGCTGTGCTTTCGGAAGGTTAAGTAGGACCATGGGGGAGGATGCCCTGGGAAAGGAGAGGTAGAGGCAGGGAGACTAGTTAAAGAGTTGTTACTGGCCAGACGTGGTGGCTCATACCTGTAATCTCAGCCTTTTGAGAGGCCAAGGTGGGCGGATCATGAGGTCAGGAGTTCAAGACCAGCCTGGCTAACATGGTGAAATCCCGTCTCTACTAAAAATACAAAAATTAGCTGGGTGTGGTGGCACGTGCCTGTAGTCTCAGCTAATCAGGAGGCTGAGAGAGAATTACTTGAAGCTGGGAGGCAGGGGTTGCAGTGAGCTGAGAACGCACTACTGCACTCTAGCCTGGATGACAGAGTGAGACTTCATCATGCACACACACAAAAAATACAAAAATTAGCCTGGCATAGTGGTGGGCACCTGTAATCCCAGTTACTCAGGAGGTGGAGGCAGGAGAATTGCTTGAAACCGGGAGGAGGAGGTTGCAGCGAGCTGAGATCCACCACTGCACTCCAGCCTGGGTGACAGAGCAAGACTCCATCTCCAAAAAAATAAAAATAAAAAAGAGGTTGTTACCTTCATGGAGGGTTGTTACCTTAGTGGAGGTTGTAGGAGGGCAGTGCAGTGGGATGGAAGGAGCTGGTGTCCCGGAGTATTGGCTGGATCTCCTGTTAACCACCCCCGCAGCCAGAGGGTGATTTGTCTTTTCAACTTCTTTTTGTTTTCTGTTTTTTCCCAGCTTAAGCAAAGAAAGAAATGTACAGAAACTCCCCCTTCGATTCCCTCTCTCCTCCTGGCCTCCTGGTTCTCTGTTGGCCCCTGTACTCCTCTGCCAGGTATCTGGGGCCACTCTGTAGGGTCTCCAGATGGAGGATCTCTCCTCATGCTCCCCACTTTTGGGGGTCAGGAAGCTGTGCCTGAGCAGTGGGTTTGTCAGTGAATTGCAGGAGCACTGATTTATCCTAGAAGTTGCCTAGCACCAAGGGGAGACCCTGCCCTTCCCCAAGGGAACACACTTTGAGAAAGCCCACAAGATCCACGCTAGTGAACCGACTGAAGATCTGTGGAGGGTTGGAATATTCTCTCAGCTCAGAGACGATTGGTGAGCCCCGTCTGTCTTATACAGCTGGTAGGTACAGAAAGTGGGTCACCTGGGGTTTTGCTTCAGTCTAGTGCCCTAGACATGGCACTCAGAGGAGGGAGAGCTGGGATCCGGTTCCGGGCGCAGTGCTGAGTCTCCCCTATTTGCGGTGGTGGAGCAGTTCAGCCGGAGAACCCTGGAGTTTTCGAAGGGCGTGGGGAGAGCTGGAGGCTGGAACCCCCTCCCCCACCCCTTATTCCTTGGACCTCTCGGGCCCTGGACAGGTAGCTCGTAGTCACTGGGATGTCTATAGCGCCCGTGAAGGGCCAGCGTCCCAGAGGGTTCCCAGGTCTGGTTGGTGACCTGGGCATGCGGCTCCCCCAGCTTCATAGACGAAGCATGCCAGACCCTCCCCGGGGGGGCCGGGGCGGGTGCGGGGCTCCGAGCACCAGGCCGACCCCGCTCCAGAGGCCGCTGAGTCCTCCTGCACCTGCCTGGCCCAGGAAGCGCCATGAGACAGCTGATAGCCAAGTTAATGAGCATCTTCGGGAACCGGGGTAAGGGACGCACAGAACATGCAAGCGAACGCTTTGATCTCGCTCTCTTCTGGGACGCCTCTGGTCTGGGGTCGGACGCACTGGGGGACCTCGGGCTCCAAGGGTCGTGTGTGGGAGCTCCTTGCCTGCCCGGCGGTCACCCCTGCCCCCGTCCCCACCTGCTCCTCTTGGGTCCCCGGGCTTCGGTGCGCCCCAGGACGCAAGGCTAGGCGAGCCTCCTTCCTTCCAACTAAACGGCACCAGCGGCGGGGATGGGGAGCCGCTGCGGGTTTCCTGAGATTGTGACTTCATGTTCGGCTCTTTCTCCAGACACTGTCTCTTGGCAAGCCCTGGACCCTTCAGACACTTTTCTAGAATGTGAAGGGAGGTGGGGGCTCAGCTGTTTTTTCTACGGTCCCGGAGTGGCGCAGGCGTCCGGGCTGGGTGGGAAGTAGACGCGGTACGGTGGCCGGAGGTCCGCAGCCTGCTGGGGGCGCGCTCTCCTTCCTGGGAGGTCGGGTGGGGGCACACAGTCCCTTGGTCATCGGGTTTGGCCCTGACGCTGCCCTTCCTCCGATGCTTCCAGAACACAAGGTTATCATCGTGGGACTGGACAATGCAGGAAAGACCACCATTCTCTACCAGTTGTAAGGGACTCTCGGGCGGCGAGGGTAGAGGGCTGGGCCTCCCACCAGACTGACAGGCATGGGGACCAATCACTGGAGCTCTTCTCGGGGCTCCTGGGCTCCTCTGCAATCCCGTGGAGTGACTGGGAACGCTGCTTGGATCTTCCTAACACAGCGGCTCCTCTGTCTGTCTTACAAATCCTTCACCGCACGGGCAACTGTAGCTCCGACTGCTTTCCTCCATCTACTCGGGAACGCTGCAAAACTCAGCTCCAGGCCTGCCAAGTGTCCCAACCTGCCTCTCTGCGCTTCGCTCCCTCTAGCGTCAGACCCGGACCCCCTCTGCCTGTTAACTTTCTTCCCCTTCTTCAAACCCAAAGGCTCATGAGGCCTGGTAGCTCCGGGTCTAGCAAGCCTGGCACAGGCGGGTGGTGCTGAGTAAATGCCGATCGAAGCTTTCCCCGGTATTCGCTGTCTGGACGGTGGTACCGCTCCCATTTTAGAGCCTCCCAAGTACTTTACTTAGGACAAGCTTTTTCATGAAAAAGTAATACAGGCAAATGATTTCAAAAATACATAAAGGAAAATTTCAAACAATGGAGGAATACACAGTGAAAAGTAAGTTTCCTTCTGCACTGTAGCCCCTAGTTTTCCTCCTATTGTAAGTTTGCGGTAACTTTTCGGATGCATTATTTGCATATAAAAGCATGTGTATGTTTTCTATGTCACTTTAAACAAAGCATCTCTCTGATGTCCCTCACTGTGTCTGTTTCATTTTTCTAAACTCTTGCATTTCAAAGTGTGGTCTGGGGCCGGGCGCGGTGGCTCAAGCCTGTAATCCCAGCACTTTGGGAGGCTGAGGCGGGCGGATCACCTGAGGTCAAGAGTTCGAGACCAGTCTGGCCAATATGGTGAAACCTCATCTCTACTAAACACACACACACACACACACACACACACACACACACACACACACGGCCTGGTGCAGTGGCTCATGTCTGTAATCCCAGCTAATCAGGAGGCTGAGGAAGGAGAATTGCTTGAACCCGGGAGGTGGAGGTTGCAGTGATCAGAGATTGTACCACTGCATTTCAGCCTACGTGACAGGAGTGAGACTCCATCTTAAAAAATAAGTAAATAAAAATAATTAGCTGGGCATGGTGGCAGGGGCCTGTAGTCCCAGCTACTCGTGGAGAGGCTGAGGGAGAAGAATCACTTGAACCCAGGAGGCGGAGGTTGCAGTGAGCCGAGATGGCACCACTGCACTCCAGCCTGGGTGACAGAGGGAGACTCCATCTTAAAATGCAAAACCGGCTAGGCATGGTGACTTATGCCTGTAATCTCAGTACTTTGGGAGACCAAGACAGGAGGATCGCTAGAGGTCAGGAGTTCGAGACTAGCCCATGAAATGGGGTTTCCAACGTGGCAAAACCCCATTTCTACAAAAATTAGCCATGTGTGGGGGGCATGCGCCTGTAATCCCAACCACTTGAGACACTGAGGCAGGAGAATTGCTTGAACCTGGGAGGTGTGACGGTGCCTGTACTCCAGCCTGGGCAACAGAGTGAGACTGTCTCAAAGAGAAAGAAATGCAAAACCCTAGGCCCCAGCCCAGACTCTCTGGTCAGACCCTGCATTTTAACAAAAATCTCATGTGATTTAACTGCATATTAAAGTTTAAGGAGGCTGGGTTCTGTGGCTCATGCCTGTAATCCCAGCACTTTGGGAGGCCAAGGCAGGAGGATCTCTTGGCAGGAGCCCAAGGCCAGGAGTTCAAGATTAGCCTGGGCAGCATAGTGAGACCCCA